TTTAGATTTACAGCTTTTCAGGGAAAGTCATTGGTGCTCTGAGTTGGAATTCCTCGGAATTCTAAGTCCTGTTGGCTATAAACTTGAAATTTCTTGGAATTTCTAGGAATTTCTAGGAATTTCTAGGTTTTTAGAACCAGAGTTTTTATGGTTGGGAATTCCCAGTCCGAATTTACCGTGAAAATTCACACCATTTATTCCTAGGAATTCCAAAATCTATTTTCCAAGGGTTAAACCCCTAGCCCTGTCTGTACCCAGTATTGCTCAGAGATGCTTGTTGCTATTATTTTACATCTGTACAAATATATAACATGGAACTTCAATCTTAATAGAGCTCTTTTTGATTAAGTATCATAATAAAGCAAAACCAACATAATGTGATCACAGCAGCTAATCAGAAGAAACTAAAACACTCCATAGAGCCAATAAAAATTCAAAGGATGAAAAGCCAGTTGCCCTAAGCACTGGAAAACGTGGGTGACCAAATTGTGACTGGTTTAAGTTTTGCATCTGATTTGTGGAGAGATAGGATGGGGCAAGCTCCCTGGACCAATAACATAGAGAAGAAAAGCGAAACCGATGCATTCCAAGATATTTTTAAGACTCAATTGAAAAATGTTCTAAAAATGTATCTACTACATCAATTTTGGTACAAATTCAATGTGAATTGCACCAGTTTCAAGTCCTATTAATAAACTTCACCCTTTACACTTTAGCATCAGTATGCATATTTTCCATACTGTTCTCTTAACAGCTCCCATGTCACTGACAAGGAGAATTTGGTCGCATTCTGATCGCATTCATAACTATATTTCTATGGCTTTGATGTTTGAGTCAGCAGTGATATTGTTACAAGAAACAAGATTCTTTTCAATTTTAAGGGTTAAAGGGTGAGAGAATCTGGACATGGGCTATCTTGCAGCAAAGTTAGGGTGTCACAATTTACATATGACACAAGCCACAATGAACCACATCTTACAATAAGTTACAAGTCGCAATAAGTCAAAAGTAAATTGTTCCGGCGAATGCTTGGTCATTAACATTAACACCGTCCGTTGGGACGGCCGAACAAAACACTGCATGCTAGAATTTAAGTCTTAACTTAAAATTAATATTCGAGTCGGTCGTGTCAGTTAGTTAGTTGTCGTTCAGTAGTCGCAGAGTTCGGACAAAAAAACAGTATGTTTAGTCGCTGCGTTTTCGTTTTCGAATTTTGTAATAGTTGTTGCATTTATCGTCGAAACATCAATCGCCTCTATGACATATACATAGTACATGTACATGTATGTATCTCTGTGGACCTGTAATTTGTCCATTGCTTTCAACCTGACTCTGGTCAAGATTTGTTTTCAAGCACTCACATGATGATTTGAAATCCTCTCTTACTTCGCTTTTAACAGTTACCTCCATGGACTCCTCACCAAATGCACAGGGAGATACTAGTTCTCCATATGTCGAGGCAGTTGGAAGGTAATTGTTTCTAACTCAAATGAAGACGAATTTAGTCCAGTGAGTTTTAATTGTCAAGGGCAATTGTTATGGAAAATTGTTATACTGTAATACCTTAGCAAAGAAAACATGTCAACCATTATTTTCAGTGAAAACTTTTCCCACAAAAGTTTCACCGCATGAAATACTGGTGTCCCGAGGAATGTCCTCCTCAAATTATCTACATTGCCAAATTTCGCTTTTGAGAAATATTTATTTCCTTAGATTTTATGTTCAAACCCTGGCAGTCCAAAAAAGGATGCTCAATTTCTTTTTTCGTAGATGCTCTGTTATAGTCAAACTTGTATAGAATTTCTTTGCACTGTAAACATTGTTTCATGTTGCCTTTCCTTTTAATCTTAAATCGCTATTTTTTTTCCACAATGTTAGGGTAAAGCATGGGAGATCTAACTTCTTAGCCTCCATTGTAGATAAACAGAAGGCTAACGTGGATGTTTGATATTAAACCGATGAACTAATTCTAGGATAACTGAGTTGATTCAGAAGCGACAGAGGTCTCCATGGCTCTGGCCTGACATTGTTTACTTTTTGACGCCATCAGGGAGGGAACACAATCATTGTCTTAATATTCTTCATGGTTTTACCAACGAGGTGCGAGTTCCAATGCGTAAAATTTTCTCCTATGCTGAAAGATTTAGTTAATTATGTTAACATAGTTTTGTTTTTCAAGATGGACATAGTCCTCTAACTGCTACTTATCTGATTCGTAAGGGAAACAACAAACAAAACAAAACATAAACAACGAAAACAGTAAATGAGAAGTTGAAAACAAAGTCAAACAACAACTGAAAGAAAATAAAGAAATTTCACAATCAGGCCACGATAGTTTTCGTAACAAAAGGACAGTTAGTGAAGCTTTTTAAAGCGTCTTCAATTCTACCGATTTAACGGTGGTGTCTCTGTGATTATGACGCAAAACCACCAGATCATCGATGAGCGAATCGCCGACAGAGCAGCCAAAAAAAATGACCCACAATCCGAAGAAAATGACACTGAGCAGGGAGAAGAAGGTGAATTTAAAAGGAAGAGGCGTTTAGCTTTCCTCGATTTGCTACTGGAGGCCTATGACAAAGGAGAGATATCACGAGAGGGCATCAGAGAAGAAGTGGATACGTTCATGTTTGAGGTAAGAGTCGCTTTAAAACCAGTTTCCAGTGGAAGTTGGTTCCTTGTCAAAGTCCATACATGAATACTCTTTGTCCGCTGTACGTCCACCCAGTTGTGGCTAAACACTCCTCCAAAGGTGATACCTCAGAAATAAAGGTTTTGGAACGATGTTTCTGAAACTCTCTTTGAATGTTCCCTACTTATGTCTGTTTCAAGAACTACAGTAACAAAGATAGGTCATTTTGCTCATTCAAGTGCAAACGAGCATCGTAACTGTTTCCTTCGTACATTGATGGGGTATATGTTCTAAACAATTATAATTTATCCACAACTTCTCTAAAGTGTTTTGTGAACATCTAGTTTCGGCGTGGATGATCGACCTACGCGCCTTTTTATGTCCAGTGAGCTTGCCAGCAAGAAAAGACGCCATGTCAATGTTGCCAATTACGCCTAATTACGTGATGTTTTGCGTAGTAAAGGATGCTCGGTGCAGTATTAAGGAATCATCAAGTAACACATTTGCTGAACCAATCAATTAACTTGCAAGGAACCCATCTGCTGCCCCAGGCAGTTTGTCAGTTTGTCTTGAAATTTTTCCTGTTCCAATTTATACTCTCAGCGAATGAGAGTTAATGTCAGTGATGGTTTAGTTTAAGGTGATTATCCATCCCTTGTCCTGTCTCCAACTCAGATCGTTCTGAGACTTGAATACGGCGTGCTTTTGGTTTTTCAAGTTGACCAACGCGGTTGTATATCAGTCAGCTGGTGGTAATTCAAATCTCAAGTTCCCAGTCTAAGTCTTATCAGGATTATTTTGTGACAAGAGCTATTTTTTGTGGTTACAATGTGTTTTAGCCTGAAAAAATTATTACTGGCAAACTCTAAGTCAGGGAATTTCATAACAATTCGGGCGTTTCTGGGAAGCAGATTAGAGTGATACTCTGGTAACCCAATCCTGGAGCTATATGAAATTATCTTTGCTATTTGTAGGGCCACGACACCACAGCCGCTGGACTAACGTGGGCTCTCTACCTACTCGCCCGCCATCCTCATATACAGCAGCAAGTCCACGAAGAAGTAGATAAATTTTTCGGTGAGTGTCTCGCCTACGGTGTTCAAGGGCACTTTGCACAGACTCCTTTCTGCCGATTTGTTTTCGTGTTGGTTACAAGAACAACAAAGTGCAAATTAAGTTATGATATCCATGCAATGGAGAAGATTTTGTTCATGCTCCATCTTGATTTTTCTTCCCAATGCACTGTGACCATACGCGACTTTGTTAATACTGGCGTCCGAATGAACGCTGTTTTGTTTACTTATTCGTGATTGATTCAAACTCTACGATTAGATAATGACTACTATGATATTTAAACATTTTAGAACAGCGGCCAGAAACCCTCACGGGAGAGGATCTGAAGGATTTGCGTTACTTGGAATGTGTTGTTAAGGTATGGTACAACAACGTTACATTTTTGTGGCTCGGATTTTAACACCATACATATAGGGGTAGGGACGGAGAACGTATCGTGGGGAAGTGGTAAAGTGGTTATTTAAGGTTCGGCTCAGTTTGGGTTAAACAAGTTTTCAAGGCTATAAAGACTTTTTTTTACATGAATGTGATAGAATGGCAACTACACCCGCCATCTATGAGCAGTTTTCATTCTATAATTTAACTTTGTAAGTAGATAGCGTTCGCTACCTAACTGCTACATGTTGATCTACTCTTCTTAATGTGGTAATTTACAAACTGAGTGCATCTAAATACTACACTCTCTGGCTTAGGAGGCCCAGCGCATGTTCCCATCTGTGCCCTTCATTGCAAGGAGGACGACTGAAGACTGTCACCTGGGTATGTATTTACGTCCTTGAGAGGGTTGGTTAGGAGCTAGCAGCGCAGTCCTGAGATAATAAGCTGTCAACGTATATTTATTCAGTTTCTTGTTCGTTTGCCTTTGTTTCTGTTTTTGTGCCCTGTCTTGTTTTCGTTTTGTTTTGGTATGTTTCTTTCTTTCTGTTTTTTGTTCGTTTGTTTTATTGGTGTAGGTTTGTTTTTTTCAGTGTTTCGATATGTGGTAATTTGTGTTGCTATTGTTTTGTTTGTTTGTTTATTTGATGGTCGGTTGTTATATTTGGAGAATAACGTGGGTAAGTTTCTAGAGAAACTGGTGCTGCGTCGGTGGGGGAGTGTAACAAGATCATTTGGCTTTGTTTCTTTATGTTGTTGTTGGAAAACAGCAACGAATACCGTTATCATAGATGTGTTCTTAATGATGACGTGACAATGGTGTTTGTGCTAACCTTTTTTTGTAAAGTTCTCAGGGAGGCTTAAATCTGTTTGAAAAACGTAAAGTAAAACACGCCCACTTGCCTTGCAGATGGTTACCTGGCTCCAAAAGGTACTGCTATTGGAGTTTGTACAATCGGACTCCACAGAAACCCAAAGGTGTGGGAAGCGCCGCTCGAGTTTAACCCGGATCGTTTTCTTCCTGAGAACAGCCAAGGACGCCATCCATATGCATTTGTTCCTTTCTCTGCTGGGCCACGGAACTGTATCGGTAGGTTTTGTTAGGTTTTATACATGCAAAGCTTAAACCTGAGCCTAAATTTAGGTAGCGACGCAGGCAGAAACGAAAGAGTGAAAGCCTTTGTTACACCATGGAAGCTGAAAAAACTGCGACTAATCACAATGACAAAATTCTGTCGCAGAGACAAAAATTATCACAAAAATGTTCTGTGTTATGTCTGACTCCGGCCGCAATTTGTCTCCTTGACTTTTTGTTGTTGTTTTTATTGTCGAAGCAGCGTGTTGTAGCACAGGTATTCCAAGGTCATGTTTTGAGAAGAGGGAAAAATGATCATCCACTCATTCCTTGAAACGTTACGGTGTTTTTTGCTTCTAAAGTGACTTTTTAGATTACTAGTTTCTTGGTATTGCTTGGAGCCGTTGAGAATCTTAAGATGTGAGAAGTTGTTTGTAGGACCCGTTTATGATACTTGAATTGACCCAGCAAAAGCTCCAAAAAAGAGATATTGCTCGTTCAGTCATTTTTTTGTTTTGTTTTTCTTTTTTTCACTGCCCTATCTTATTTTGTCCGTTAACCTGTCTTTTGTCCTTACCTTATAGGTCAGCGGTTTGCTCTTCAAGAGGAGAAACTTGTCTTGGCTCACGTGTTGCGTAATTTTACCCTCGACTCCACTCAGACCTTTGATGAACTCCAGACATGCGGAGAAATTATAACCAGACCAAAGAATGGAATATTCGTCTCTTTAGCCAAACGATGATAAGATATATATGTTATTTGCCGGCTGGGGGGTCCGTATAGTGAAAAACTGTGACCGAGGTCACAGTTTTTCACCATACGGACCGACCCTTAGCCGGTAAATAAGATATTTATTTTTTTTAAACTTCACGAAATTCTTTCCGAAAGAACCCGAATGATTAAGGGCTGTAAATACGGCAAGATCTTCCATAAACTGACAATTTTTGAGCGAGTAACTGGTAGTTAAAATAGAGGTGATGCAAATTAAAGAGAGGTGATTTAAAAGGCTTCCAAACAAACTTTGGATCATTATTTTTACAAGTATCTGTCACGATCTGACACCTGTCAATTAGAGAGCGCGTAAGAAGAAAAACAGCATAAGAAGACTTGAAAAACAACGGAACTAGTTTGGCAAGGACTGTCACGACAATGTTTACCTCAAAAACAGTCAATGATCTAACGGAAAGTATTATTCACTCTCATCGACGATCTATTAATGTACGTAGATTTACCTCTGTTCATTAAGTAAACGGTAAGGAAAGTAATTGTGAGTAAATTCATTTTCTTTTTATTTTGAAGTTGTGGCAGTTTGCTCGTTTGTTTGCGGCAATGGCGTGTGTAAACCAGGCCTTTCCTCCACAAAAACTAAATTCGAATGGCACACCAACGAGACACGAGGATTAAATGCGGCCTTTTCTCTATAAATTCCTTCAGTTTCTGTTGTGCAAGTTACGGTACAAATGTCCCAATTGAACGGACTTGGAAAGACTTACTGAGAGCGTATATTTGTTTTAGAACTGAAATTAAAACTTCGCTCGCTCTTTTAGTACGAACAAATTGTTTGAAAAAGTTCAGATATTAAACGAATGAAAGTTCCATCGTTCAGTTTAACTGTAATCAAATATCTCACGTTTTAACTTTCAAGGTGCTTTTTGTGAACGATTGAAATTAATTGCAGACGGTTTTTAGGCCGTTTGTCAATCAACATAATGACACTATTGCTTATATATACAAATTCATTCTGAAACCAATGTTTTTCCAATTTTTCGTATCTCCAAGCAGCATGTAGTATGCTATTTATCATTTAAGGTGATTCCCTTGTTTTGCACTGCGCGACCTT